CTCATGCTTTATGAGTAACCCTGTTTTTGCAATCTTGGATTTAAATCCTTCATCTGCAGCTGGTGTGACCCTGAATATACACAGATTCAGTGATATTGATAATCTTGGGAATATTCTATATGATTGCGATTTATCAAAAAGTTTGATATCTTGATAAATGTTTCCCAGGATGAACCAGCACTAACAGATCTTATACATTATACAGGCCACACAACATTCAGGCATCCAGGCATCATGGCATGCATAGTCAACACTGAACAGGGAATGCATGGTGATGATCTTGCACGAAGCTTAAGTTTAGATGATGGGATGCATGGAGGAGATTGCATAAACCATGATGACAGCATGCGTGTATGATGATGTTGATAGCACACTATTTCTTGAGATATGATGATAGCACGTTATTTCTTAGTATGACGGCATGCATGATGATGATAGCACGCTTTGTCTTTAGATGATGGCATGCATGGTAATGAGGGCATGGATATTTAACTGTTTAATATTTTTAACTGAGATAAATCAATCAAAACTAATAAATGTACTAAGAGATATACACAAAAGTTTTTATATGAAAAAAACTTTGAAAACTAAAGAAAATATTTAATTTTTATCCTGTTGATATTTGAAGCTGTGTTTAATGATGCGTTGAGATTAAAAAGAATCAATTTTGAACATAAAATTACAGTTAAAATTTAGATTGTTTGTCATTTTTAACAACAAAACTTTTCTGCAAAATACCAAATTTTGAAGAAAAAAATTTGTCCTTTTTACTGTTTTTTTTTAATTTTATATGTTTTGTTACAGAAATACCCAACACAAAATTACAAACTAATTATTTTTGTAAAAATCCACTCTCTTCCTGAGGCCCTTAATGTTTTCTGTTTGTGGATGGGGGAGTGTGTATGGGGGGTGGATTGTATGTCTGTTTGACGGTGTGTGTGTGTTGTTGCAGATGTTAATGATGTGTGTAAGTATAGGTTCTATAGTTACATAAAGGTTTATACGGACTGTCACCTATATGTCTACGTTTACACCGCACACGTAGTTATACTTACAAATATACAGATATACAGAGATATTTCTTAGATGTACAGATATCTTTTACATATATATACAGATATATTTCCCAGATATACAGATATATTTCCTAGATATACAGATATATATCCCAGATTTAAAGACATATTTCCCAGATATAGAGATATATTTCCCAGATATACAGATATACTTCCCAGATATACAGATATATTTCCCAGATATACAGATATCTATCCCAGATATACAGATATATTTCTCAGATATACAGATATCTTTCCAAGATGCACAGATATATTTATCAAATATATAAATATCTGCCACAGATATACAAATATCTTTCCCAGATATACAAATATATTTTCTTAGTATACATATATCTTTCCCAGATATACAGATTACAGATATACATATTCAAGGTTCTGGACATCCCAAATATAATATTATATATACAAGATATAAAACAGATTTGAATGTGTATACTGCTAATTGCTTGAACTGCAGGCTTATCTTTACTGTTTCTCTCAATATATAGAATATGATTTCAGGACGCCGTAGAATGTTATTTCAAAACGCCGTAGAATATGATTTCAGGACGCCGTAGAATGTTATTTCAAGACGCCGTAGAATGTGATTACAGGACGCCGTAGAATGTTATTTCAAGACGCCGTAGAATGTGATTACAGGACGCCGTAGAATGTTATTTCAAGACACTGTAAAATGGTATTTCAAGACGCCAAAGAATGTGATTACAGGACGCCGTAGAATGTGATTACAGGACGCCCTAGAATGTGATTTTAAGACGCTGTAGAATGTTATTTCAGGACGCCGTAGAATGTTATTTCACGACGCTGTAAAATGGTATTTCATGACACCAAAGAATGTGATTACAGGACGCCCTAGAATGTGATTACAGGACGCCGTAGAATGTGATTACAGGACGCCCTAGAATGTGATTTCAAGATGCTGTAGAATATTATTTCAGGACGCCAAAGAATGTGATTTCAGGACGCTGTAAATTAAAATTTCAAGATGCTTTAAAATGTGAATTCAGGACGCCGTAGAATGTTATTTCAAGGCTCTGTAAAATGTTATTTCAAGAAGCTGAAGAATGTGATTTCAGTACATCGTAGAATGTGATTTCAAGACGGCGTAGAATGTGATTTTAGGAGTAGGACGCTCTAGAATGTGATTTCAGGACGCCGTAAAATGTTATCTCAAGATGCTGTAAAATGTGATTTCAGGACGTCGTAGAATGTGATTTCAAGACGGCGTAGAATGTGATTTTAGGAGTAGGACGCTCTAGAATGTGATTTCAGGACGCCGTAAAATATGATTTCATGACGCTTTTCAAGTTGCCGTAGAATGTTATTTTAAGACTCCATTGATGTGATTTCAGGGGGGGGGGGCGGCAGGACCTTTGCACCCCCCTGAGATTCCAGAATAGCTCCTCAATAGCACTTCAGGGAAAGAAAACCTAGTGCAAAATAGGAAAAATGTCTATCTAAAGAAAATTTTTCGTCTGCGTCACGTCTTTTTGTTCCTAAATCTGGATTTTTTGTTCCGAAATAAATCTAGCACTAGCACCAGCCTCACATAAATCCTGTAACCACCCCTGTTTCAGGACACAAACGAATCTTTTACTCTTGTTAATTTAGTCCTTGCTCTCTAGTCCCAGCACATAAGTTTTTAGGTAAACAAATAATTATCAACTATCAAGCAGATTTTTGTAAATATCGATTTTGCATCCTCGACAACGAGTATAATGTTATTTCAAGATGCCGTAGTTCTTAAAATCAGAGTTATAAAGTACAGATTCAGGGTGTCCTGATTAGCATGGGAATTAAATGACGACTTCTGTATCTTCTTTGTTCCATGCAGGATTATTTCAAATTCAGTGATGGTGATGGGCCAAACCTCTGTAGAGTAAAAAAGTAGACGTTAGTTCCACATTTATTGAAAATATATTTCGGTCTGGGTTGACCCTCGTCAGTTCTTGAGATTGTTTCTTTACAAAGATTAAAAACAAAACTGGATTATTTCGTAAGAATAATCTTTAAGTATCACAATAAAACAATGAACACCGAAAACTACTTATAGTGTCGAGATTTCCAAAATATGGTTTATCATTTTTTTACCTACAAATTTTAAATATTAGGAAATTTGTTCAGATTCCAATTTATCAAAAATAAACAAATGTTTAATATCTCCGTCAATTTTGAAAATACTACAAAGGTAGACCACATTTTGGAAAGCTCATTAGCCTTTCATTTCAGTCTTTTTTTGATGCCCTTTTTGGCATTTATCTATCAATTTTTGGAAATCAAAGAAGATTTTAAAGTCGTCTCTCAATTCCCATTTTTATTGGGACACCTTGTACTTACAGTCGGCTTGTATTAACTAGATCGAGAAAAATTTGTCTATAGGAATATAGAACTGGTTTTACACGTTCATTGTGAACGTTCATTGCAGCACAACAATTATACTAAGCATCAACTGAACTTCACGAGTTACGAGAATGCAAAGTCCTATCAGAAATACTGCCTTCTACATCAATAGATCTTGAAAAAGATTAGTTTTGGATCCTTGATAGTTTATGCCTTTAAAGGTTATATAAACGTATATTTTAAGAGACCCTTCCTTTGTAGCGTGACATGTCTAATTCACCCTTAAAATCTTTGTCTCAAGAATGAATGAGATATCCATGTTTTTGCGCATTTCGAATGGAAGAAAACATATGTAGGAATTATGAGAAGTTAACACTTTTCAAGCTAGAAAAAAGGCGTTATATCTCCCACATCATATTGATCAGATATAGGGTACCATTGTGAATCAGGAATGCCACTTTTTTATTTTTTTATGTGGAGGGGGACTTGAAATTACAGCGACAGTCCCTTTAAATGTTGTTAATTGTCTTGACATTTTTTTAAATGTATTTAAACGATATTTTAATATTGGAGTTAACCTTGTTTTTCGTGATGCTGTGTTGCGGCAGGTCTACTGCGCTTTTGCTCACGTGAACACATGCCGTGTTTTATTTGATGAATATCTGGAGTTCACCCGTCACCAGGAGTATTTACGACCTTAAATACATAATTTACTGTTTAAATCAATTAAACATTATTTTTTACATTATGAACGCTTTTTTGTTACTGACAGTATGATGATCTTGAAGCAGATTGGGGTGTAGGTGCAAACAATGATTGAGTACTCTTCTAAAAATGGGACACCCCCCCCCCCTAAGAGAAGAGTGTTAAAAAATCGAGTTTTTCGACAATTACAGACCACAAACCCAAGAAAATCCAGACAAATTCACAGAGATCAAGATTTTAGACAAAAAAAATTAAAATTACGAATAAGATTTAAGACCGGGTCGGCTTTCATGCATCCCAGCTCACTTCGCATTTGCACGCTTTATTTTTACCAACTTCATTGATACTTTTTTGTTGCGAAATCAATAGGAGTAAGTAAGCAAGTAATTATTTTTTCATAAAATAGACCAAAAGCATACAAAATTAAGTGTTTTAGGAGAGAATATTTTAAACCTCTAAAAATTTGAAAAAAATAAAAGGAAAAGGATTAAGTCACATTTTTATTGTTTGCATTACATTTAATATAACAATAAATATAAAATAGGCTTTATGAGTTGTGAAAAAGATATAGGTTCACAAAACGGGCATTTCTATTTGCCCAAATTCTGATTTATTTTTAAGTCAGAGCATGCATTCTGTGGTTCACAGTGACCACTACCAGTTACATCTTGTGCACAACAATGACTACAACTTACAAGTGCTACAAGTGTGGGCAAAAGTCTTCCTGTACCACATGAGGGAAAATTAGGGGGATAACGTGGGGGGNGGGTAATAGATTACGACAAGACCACATACAGCAGAGGACTGAGGACTGAAGAGGACAAATTATGGTCCAGAGGGGACTTTACTTTGTAAAATTAGACCCCCCCCTACCTCTCTTCAAGCTCCCTCCCTGCACCTCTGTTTTTTAAAAAGCAACTCCTTGAGATTTACTAATCCAGGTTAGGTTAGGTTAGGATAGATAAATAGTCACGGGAGGTTGATTTTTAGAATCAGGGGTGTTTCACGGTTTCTGCTCCCCCCCCCCTTGTTCCTTCTTCATCCATAAATACCCCCTGCATACAAGATCTGTTCGACCAGGGGGAAAATAACCCGCATTAATACAAGGAGGGCCTTGTCCCCCCCCCCCCTCCTACCCATTGGAAAGGTGATATCCCCCTCTCCCCCTCTCCTTCTCTTTTCCCCCTTCCTGTCAGACATGAGGTAGAGTAGTGTCGCCTCCAGAATAAAAAAATAAACATTCAATTAAACTTCAAAGTAAAGAAAGTCTGTCTGTTCCAAGGTATAGTGGAGTTTATACATTATACACTATGAGTATACAGCTCACAGCTAATATACATTATACACTAGAGTACAGCTAGAAAGAAAGAAAATCTGTCTGTTCCAAGGTATAGTGGAGTTTATACATTTTACACTATGAGTAAACAGCTAATAGCTAATATACATTTTACACTAGAGTACAGCTAGAAAGAAAGAAAATCTGTCTGTTCAAAGGTATAATGGAATTTATACATTATACACTATGAGTATACAGCTAATAGCTTATTTACATTATACACTAGAGTACAGGTAGAAAGAAAGAAAATCTGATATTTTTACAAGAATATTTATATATTGTTATTTTTATATTTCAAATACGTTGAAATCTATCTTTACACAAACCAATAAATGTCAAAACTACCGAACGTTCGGGCCCAATTGTTGTGTGGCAAATCCATTGAAGGTTTACAGGACACTCAAATTTGCAAAGAAGAATAGAAGCCTAAGAAGCAACGGTTAAAGTTGTTACTAGAAAACGGTCGCTAAGTGCCCTGGAAGCTTAGTTTTATAAAAAAAATTACAATGGAAATCGACCGACATAGGTATGAAAAGGTTACCTGTAAGGCATGAGAATATTATAACGACCTGAAACTATTTTTTAAGATAACTGTCTGAAGGTTAAATTTGGCGTTTAAACTTGAATATTATAGTCTACCAGGCTTTCAGAGCGCTTCACGCCCGTCTTCCGTTTCAATTGAACATTTTCTCTTTGTATACATTATAAAACAAAAACAGACAAAAAAGTTCGCATATTTTATAAAGAAAAATTCGTGGATTTTTTAAATTTGAAGAAAATCTAAGTTTGTTGGAGGCTATTTTTTGAAATCTTGATCATTTATAAACCTTCCCTGGGGTAATGTGAGGTCCCACACAAAATTTCGGCCCGATCAGTTCAGCCGTTTGGACGTTTATTGGATACAAACAAACAGACACCCAAACCGACAAGCAAAGACAAGCAAAGTATATATACTAGGCTTTTAGGGTGCTTCGCGCCCACCTTCTATTTTAATTGTAAATTGTAAACATGTTCTCTTTGTATACATTGTAAAACAAAAATTAGTTGATTTTTAAAAAAAATCGTGTATTTACAAAATTTTCAAAAATCAAATTTTGTTAGAGGCAAATTTTGAAACTTTATTTATAAACCTTCCCTGGGGTCACGCAGGGTCCCATAATAAATTTGGGCCCGATCGGTTCTGCCGTTTTGACGTTTATTGGATACAAACATACAAAACAGACACCCAGAGACAGACAGACAAGCCAAATTTATATATAGATTACACAGCTGTAGCTGTAGAGAACCGTGAATATAACTAGCTAATTTATTAAAAAGTACAGCAAGAAGTTTTCAAGATTTTATTTTTATTTATGTTGCATCAACATTTAAGCAAAACTATTTTTCTTGATAACATCCAAGACAGTTTGCGTGAAGGTTCGAATTTCTATTTTGCAAAGCTGTCTCTATTAAAAAGATGTAAAACTAACAAGATGAAACTGAAGGGTCTGTGTCAACCTTCAACAAAAATATTTAAAAACTAAATATTCCGGAAAATTGTATTTTATACTGTTGAAAAACCGTGTCTGGTTTAGAACTGTTTATTTTTAAATCCAAATGTTGTAAGGATCTTGCTAAAATCTAAATTGATCTGAAGACTGTTTCTAAAACGTTCCTAAAATATCCCGACATAAGAATTAAGATATATTTAACATGTGTTGAGTTGTACTTGGGAACATTGCAATAATAAATCTATTAACTCTGCACAATGAAGTAATATAAAGGGACTGTATACGTATTTTTAAGTGGTCCTTCAATTATAAGTTGAGAAAACACACACCTACTCTGTGCCTACTCATTATAATGTTTAAGGAAGAAAGTTGATTTTTCAAAAAATATTGCAGTTTCGACTTTGCGCTCTAATGGCTCTTCCGTTTTAGTACAATGAATTGAAAAGTCCTGACCGAATAGGAAAGAAATAATTCCACAAATGATGTGATTATTCTAACCTTTTTCTACATTTATACAGGAAACTCAAACTTCTCAGTTACAGATTGATTCCGTATTCCACCTGGCGATATAGGTTTTGAAAATTGAATCTCATGATTATAAAATTTGCATTTTTCTTATCAATTCATGTTTTAAATTCAAATTGTTCAATTTCCATCTCAAAAAGTACAAATTTTATACTTTCATGTTTTCTGCTACTTCCTCTTGTATACAGTCCATTGCCTATTGGGTTTTCTTTTCCCTTATTTTTTTGTTTCCTAAAACTTTAACCTTTTTTTTCTTTGAAAAATGTATGTATGCACTCAAGCATACTGCTTGAAACAGTGTTTAAAAAATCTCTTCATTTTTTCCCCTTACATTCTCTGGTTCCCGGCATCTTTCAGATTGTTTCTTCCTTAGCTAAATATGAGTTTAGGCAAAATATCAAACTAAACCTTCAGATCACCATAGTTTGAGGGGCTTGGACCAGGGGCTAATGGACTCGGCATACAGGAGTGAGATCGTTATATTTAGCAGTTTTGTGTCGTCATCTAACTATCATTCTTTATGGGTATCCCTGTACATAAAATCAAAGTTTTAGTTTACTGTACCGCCCGGAAATTGGGTAAATTATGCAGACACTCAATAGGACTAGCCGGTGCAACAAGGTTGACACCGTCAGACTTTATGTTTAATTTACTTTTACTAAAGGGTCAGAGGTGCGTGATGTATTTCTATTTGACAAAAGCAATGTTTTTGCCAACACCAGCTTGTACGTGGCTACTGTAGGGCACACCAAATTTTATTTTATTTCATAAAAAAATTACTTTGCTTCAAGTTTTAATTTTTTTTCTACTGAAAGAGAAAGAAGAAGCGCGACAAAATATTCACGTTATTTACTCTAGAAGTAAATTGTATGGAATTGATTAAAATCTTTTATGTCTTCAATCATTTAGCAATTTAGAAGAAATGCAAGTTTGATTGAAATCTTCCATGTCTTCAATCATTTAGCAATTTAGAAGAAATGCAAGTTTGATTGAAATCTTCTATGTCTTCAATCATTTAGCAATTTAGAAGAAATGCAAGTTTGATTAAAATCTTCTATGTCTTCAATCATTTAGCAATTTAGAAGAAATGCAAGTTTGATTGAAATCTTCTGTGTCTTCAATCATTTAGCAATTTAGAAGAAATGCAAGTTTGATTGAAATCTTCTATGTCTTCAATCATTTAGCAATTTAGAAGAAATGCAAGTTTGATTGAAATCTTCTATGTCTTCAATCATTTAGCAATTTAGAAGAAATGCAAGTTTGATTGAAATCTTCTATGTTTTCAATCATTTAGCAATTTAGAAGAAATGCAAGTTTGATTGAAATCTTCTATGTCTTCAATCATTTAGCAATTTAGTAGAAATGCAAGTTTGATTAAAATCTTCTATGTCTCAAATACTTAACTTTTTTATTTGAAGATCTATTGAAAAGAATTACATGTTTTGAATTACTAATATCAAATGAATTTGATGATGTTCGTCGCATACTTGATACGTAGAATCAAAACTAGAGAAGCTACAAGGTCACAAAGCCATACAAGTCATTTATCATACATTTTACGATCTCCTTTTGTTTAGTAGTGATATATATAAAGTAATAATGCATGAAATTAACTTTAATTTATCACCTATTTTCTTCCAATATTGAAAATTTGACTGTACTTAGTGTACATTTTATACTTTTCTCGAGATTTTTTTTAAAGAGAAAGTAGAAGCATACATCACGTACTTATTTTTATTAAGCAACTTAGTCTTATAACCCCATTATTTTTCATTTCACACACATTCCATACATATAACATCTATATTTTAATCTTAAAAAAAAAACTTGTACAGCGCGCAGGCCAACCCCAAATTGAGCCAGTTCAGAATACTTTTGAAATAAAAAAGTATCTCTTTATTTTTATATTTTACATTTTTATAAAAATTACGCGAAATTCTTTATTTTTATTTGGAAGGATTTTGAACTGATTTTGTGACTATACGCACTGTATATCTGTCTGTATATCTTTTTATCCCAATTATCAATTTAATTACTTTTTTTTTCTTCATTTCATTAAACCTACACGATTTGAAAAGTATAATCACTTTTTAGGTCATATTATGTATTCATCACTATACTGATATGGATATACACTGAGCTAAAATGTCAAAATGCAATTAGATCTTGTTTACATTAAACTAAAATCTTAATTTTAAATTTGAAATATTAATTTGACACATAAAGATTGATAACTCTGTAATTAGTTATTTAATAAATTTCAAATTTGGAGACATCTAAAAATATTTGAAAATAAAACAAATTTAGAAAAAATGTATACTACAAAATGCACTAGATTTCACGATAAGCAAGATTATCTAATTAAACTAAAACTGAAAATTCAACCTGCCGCCGAAATCGGAGAATAGTTCTGATTGGCCGCTTCATGAATTACCCCGCCATGTTAGACCAATAGAAACTCAAATTGCTCAAGCATTACTTTGTGTAAAGTGGAAAGGTTTATGAACGCTTATTTTTATGCGTAACGTAAACAAAAAGAAAAGTTTACAAACAAATTATAAATCACATTTAATAAAATAAAACTTTTAAATGAAATATGTCACTTTTACAATTATTTATTTTGTGTGTATACAGTTTTAGAAAATGTAATTATCTGTTCGATCTGTGATAATGAATATTTTGCACTATTAGGATCGGGCTGACTTCGAAATGTCGCTAATAATTCGACATTGGTTTGACTTACTCTTGTCCCCCCCCCCCACCCGAATATGAGGGGTTTAACGCTTGATGTTTTTAGTTAATTTAGAACCATCATCATTCTCAATCTAAATCTGTTTTGCAGAAAAACCATTATATAAGAATTTATGGTTTGAAATATGGAAGGTCTACGAAAATGGGTTTCAAAGATATATATATGGATTATAAAATCAGAATGTGTAGGAAAGACTCAATCACTTTGCTTATTAACATAAAATGATAATAAAAACATAATTTGACTACAGGTTATGGTTGGAATTAAAATTGCCATGTTTTGCCACTTTTGGATTAGATTATGGTTATTACTACAGGATGTGATTTTAAACCACATTTAAGGCGGTTTTTAAAACTTTTATTTGACCAGAGCTGAAAACTTTAGAATGGGATATCCTTAATCCTGATTGGTTAATTAATCTGGAGATTAATAATAAGAGGAGAACAAGCACTATTTAATCTGGATATTAAGAAAAAGAGGAGATCAAGCATTAATCCCGATATCCATCATTCTAAAGTTTTCAGCTCAGTTAGGAAATTCTTTATTTTAAATTGGCAACAAGATTTTAGAATATTTGATTCAATATTCTGCTATATTAGAGCTAATGACGACAAAAAAGAACTGAAATGACCCCTTGTAGCATTAAAAACTTTAAGCCTTTTTAAATTATTTAGTGGCTCAAAATCTCACCTTCATCTTTTCAACCTATTGAGAAATTAAGAGATCATAGTTTATATCGAAGGTATACTTCATCAGGTTTAACAAGTTTAAGGATTTGGAAATTAGAGTGTGAGACAAGTGGTCAATTGCTTTGGTCGATATTTTGACAGATACGCCATGAATTAAAACTAAAGTTATAAACAGGTTTGTAAGATAGTCACGAATATTGCTGAAAAGTAAAAACAGATATTTTCTTTTTAAAAAATCCACAATTTATCGTGTTTAATAAGACTTACATTAGTTTTATTGACAAATATACATCTATAAAAAAAACAATAATTATTTAATAATTATCGAGGTCAATTGAACCAAAAAGATTATCACATAAATGCGGATTATTTCAATAGTTTTACATCAAGAAAGTAAATACGGCCTTATATTTGTGAAACATGGAACAAGAGAAAATATCAGAGCTTTAAACACCAAAATTAATATTTTCGCCATGTTTACATTTTGCCGGGTTTTTTTTTTTCATTTCTAGTTCTAGTTATATCTCTGAGCAGGGGTATTAATTTTCTAAAATGGCGAAAGAACATCGAGAACCAAGATGGAGAACCAAGATTGAGAACCAAAATGGAGAACCAAAATGGGGAATCAAGATGAAGAACCAAGATGGAGAACCAAGATGGAGAACAAAAGATGGAGAACCAAGATGGAGAACCAAGATGGAGAACCAAGATGGAGAACCAAGATGGAGAACCAAGATGGAGAACCAAGATGGAGAACCAAGATAGAGAACCAAAATTGAGAACCAAGATGGAGAACCCAGATGGAGGACCAAAATAGAGAACCAAGATTGAGAACCAAGATGGAGAACCAAGATGGAGAACCAAAATTGAGAACCAAGATGGAGAACCAAGATGGAGTACCAAAATGGAGAACCAAGATTGAGAACAAAGATGGAGAACCAAGATGGAGAACCAAAATTGAGAACCAAGATGGAGAACCAAGATGGAGGACCAAAATGGAGAACCAAGATTGAGAACCAAGATGGAGTACCAAAATGGAGAACCAAGATTGAGAACAAAGATGGAGAACCAAGATGGAGAACCAAAATTGAGAACCAAGATGGAGAACCAAGATGGAGGACCAAAATGGAGAACCAAGATTGAGAACCAAGATGGAGAACCAAATATGGCGCCAAACACAATATTTTTTATCACTCTGTTACTTTGGTTAAACACATAAAGAATACATCTAACATTTAGGAAAAACACTAAATAGGACACGTTAAAAACTGTAGACTGGTTTCAGAGTAACCCCCCCCCCCCACAATTTTGAACGTTCGGTACGTGTGCGTTTCAGATTATTAAACTTGCTCTTGCATATTCTTTTAAAATTAATTCAAGTAATTGTCTCTGAAAAGAAAGACTAGAATATTTCTAATAATGATTTTTCATTTAAGAACTAATAAGATAGGGCTAAGGCTGCTTCTTTTCAAGGGATGGACTTGTCTGCATAACGAGGGAGGGATGGCTAGAACTATTGTTTAAACGAGGGCGGGATGGCTAGAATCATCTGTTGAACAAGGGAGTGATGGCTAAAACTGTTTCTGATGGAAGGGATGAAATGGATCCTCTGAGTAAGTTGGTCCCTTGTATTCAGATAGTTTAGGAACTAGGAACTCCTGAGGTTTAAACTCTGATGGACTTAGATTCCGGTTCATGTACTCAGTAACCTTACTCTCACTGTACTCAGGCTTAGAGTCAAGTTTATACCCTGCAAATAAAAATCATAAATTCAGGCTGAAGGAATTGAGTAATTGTCACAAATTCTGATTTTCTAATCTCAATATCTTTGCAACCCAATGTGACCATAGATATTCTAAACTGTGGATTTTTTTAATCAACCACCAGGTTGCTAAGAAATAGGGATTACAAATTTGAGTTTGTGACAAAAACTCCATTTCTTTTTTTAATTCTGAATGACTAGTTTTACTTTAAATGATTTAGCGGCATTTTTATAGTTGATTCACATAAACTTAATGACGGTAACATGTGCATGGCAGTGCAAGCAAAATTATGCTGAAATTTCAAAAGTAATTTTCAACGTATAAAATTGTTGGCGCTACAGGAAGGATGGGCAGGAATAAAAAGAAGGAGGGGAGGAGTGTCTGGGAAGGATGCAAAGTCCGTTATTGATAAGAAAACAAGATGTACATTCAAGTGATGATGGAACATGAACAATCAATAAATCAAGAAGGGAGGATAAATAGATAGATAGATAGATAGATAGATAGATATAGATATAGACAGACAGGCAGATATATAGATAGATGGATAGAGAGAGACAGACAAATAGATAGATGGATATTTATTTATAAACAGATAAATAAAAAGATAGATAGATAATTGAATGTAAAACTAGAGAGATGGAGTAATAAAATAATGGAAAAAAATAGGAAAACAACTGTGAGATTCAAGTTCTAATCTTGGATACGTTAATCAACATAAAACTGTTAAATAGGAAAACTACTGTGAGATTGAAGTTCTAATCTTGGATACTTTAATGAACATAAAACTATTAATTAGGAAAACTACTGTGAGATTGAAGTTCTAATCTTGGATACTTTAATCAACGTGAAACTGAACATTAAACTGTTAAACTGAACATTAAACTGTTAAGTAGATAAACGACTGTGAGACTCAAGTTCTAATCTTGGATACTTTAATGAACATTAAACTGTTAAATAGGAAAACTACTGTTAGACTCAAGTTCTAATCTTGGATACTTTAATCAACATAAAACTGTTAATTAGGAAAACTACAGTTAGATTCAAGTTCTTATCTTGGATACTTTAATCAACATAAAACTGTTAAATAGGAAAACTACTGTGAGACTCAAGTTCTAATCTTGGATACTTTAATCAACATTAAACCCATCAATTTTGCAGTGTTCAGTGTTCACACTACTTTTTATCTTTTATGCACAAGTTAACTTTAAAGCTGCTAGCTAAGATTGCTTAAAGGTCATCTTCCTATTCCACAGTTTAATGATTCCCACTGTATAATGCAACAGATGTGAGAAAATTTATATACTAAGATAATTAAGCAAGTGAACAATTTTAATTGTAGACAAATAGATAACAGAGGATTGAAATTGTGAAAAAGGATGTACAAGTGTGGAAGAGAATAGAAACATAAAGTTGTGAAAAAGGATGTACAAGTGAAAGAGAATAGAAACATGAAATTATGAAAAAGGATGTACAAGTGTGAAAGAGAATAGAAACATGAAGTTATGAAAAAGGATGTAAAAGTGAAAGAGAATAGAAACATGAAATTGTGAAAAAGGATGTACAAGTGAAAGAGACTAGTCACATGAAAATACAAGTGAAATAGACTAGAAACATGAAAGTACAAGTGAAAGAGACAAACATGAAAGTACAAGGGAAAGAGACTAGAAACATGAAAGTACAAGGGAAAGAGACAAACATGAAAGTGTGAGGGGAGAAGAGGAGAGGGTATGGTGTGTGTGTGAGGGGAGACGAGGAGAGTGGATGGTGTGTGTGTGAGGGGAGAAGAGGAGAGGGTATGGTGTGTGTGAAGTACAAGTGTAAGAGACTAGAAACATGAAAGTACAAGTGAAAGAGACTAGAAACATAAAAGTACAAGTGAAAGAGACTAGAAACATGAAAGTACAAGTGAAAGAGACTAGAAACATGAAAGAACAAGTGAAAGAGACTAGTATAGAAACATGAAAGGATTGTCATATTAGAGTTTTGTCTGATAAAGTGAAAACCTAATTTGAATCCATTACTTTGAAATTTATATCTTACTATTTACAGGATAGAGAAATGGAAAAAATAGACAGAGAGAATATATAGATAGATGGATGGATAGATAGATGAATAGATGGATAGATTACCAGATAAGAATATGGATGATGTAAGGATTAACATGTGTGATGCTTGGTCATACTTAGGCTGGGAACCTTTTAACACTTTATTGGGGTGGGCTGGGAGTGTGTGAAATATTGTTAATGATCATTAGGTGGCTTGTCGGCCCAATAACAATTTGGGGACAGTATAAAGTAATTAAAAACAATTAACAAATAACATACTAGATATGTGTAGAAGCAGACAAAATTAGTTACCCACGGTATTTCAAATCACAAAAAGCAGTTTGACTCCATGATGCACTTTTTTTCTGCATTTTATACAAAAGAACTTCAGTTCTTGACACGAATTTTCTAATTCTTATATCTTTAAACCTGACGGTGTAAACCTTACAGAATTCATGATTTTGAATATCACAGGTTTACAGCATCGAGTTGCACAGATATAGAGATGAACAATCAGAGTTTGTGGCAAAAATATTTTGGAAAATATTCAACTGCGATTAATCTAAGTTTGGAACTTTTGAATGAAATGATTGAGTTAAGCTAATTCTCTCCACTCCCCGACTTAAATGTTGACATTCTAGGATTAAACCAATGAAAACTTTATTAATCTCTCTTTTTTTCGTGAGAAGAAGAAGAGTTTAAATCATTCCTTCAATTCAAAAGTTTCCACCTTAATTAAGTTTGAAATCAAGGTTAAAACGTTGTTTACCTAATGCCACGTCAGCATCTAGTGAAGTTTGGAAGGATGAAGGAGTTGATTGATACTCAGGGCCCCAACACCAGGGAGCAGCAGGGGCTAGTTCTGTTATATCATGAGGTGCCCGCCCAACATCCATCGGCGGCAGCGGGTAGTCCACCTGGGGGTAGTTGTACCCGGTGTACCCAGCCAGTACATGGTTGTTATTTAGCATAAATGAGTGCTGTGAGCTGGTAAGAAGACTGGAGTCATAGTCCGCCATACTTACCGCCGGTACATGGGACATCGCCTCGTAGTGAGACACATGGCGGACGGGCGGGCACTCACTACCTGACACCGGCGGGTATAAACTTGAATTAAATGATTTCATCGCCTTCCTCCTGAATCCCCTGGGTCTCCGCCTGAACGACCCCTCCTCGAACATGTATTCCTGTGCAGGGTCGATTGTCCAGTAATGTCCCTTGCCTGGTCTACCCAGGGCCTTAGGTAGCTTGATGAAGCACTCGTTTAACGAGAGATTATGCCGAACTGAGTTCTTCCAACCTTGATAAGCTCCACGGAAAAAGGGAAACTTTGCCTGAAACAAAAAACATTTATTATGTGCAATAAAATAATCCCTTTTAGGGATATATTTGAAAAAAATTTCATATTAAAATTGACATTTCATGGAGTAAGACACACTTTGCCTGACAAAACAGATTTTATTATTACTATGTTAGCACAAAATAATCATCTTTAGAACTCTTTAGGAATATATTTGAAAAATTTAAAGGAACCCATAAACTTAAAAGCTTTGTTTGATCAATTAATGATTAGATATCCATGTTTTGTTTCTTTAAACTGTTTATTTTCATTTGCAGGTTTTCTTGCTTATAAGAATCAATGGAGAAATTATCAGAATGAAACACTTTCGTATCAGTAAGACAACGATATCTTTCACACTTTAAATCAGATTAAGGTTTAAAGGGTATAAATCGGACATTGCCATCTTTCCATGGATGGTCTCTTGAAATTACGCTTACAGCCCCTTTTAGAAATTTTCAAAAACTTTATGTTGGTTTCAATGTAAAATATATATGTTACAATTACAATTTCGATTATAGCAAAAAACATACCGACACTCGTCGTAAAAATGGAGACAGCTTACTTTTATTCAACCTTTAATTTAATTTTTTTTTTTTACGAAGTAGATATGTTAATAAATATTTTCATTATTTTGTTACAAAAGTAAGATTTGTTTATAATATATCACTATAGAGTATAGATAGCTAGGCCGTATTCATTCATTCATCAAATTGAAAATATTAAAAAGAAAATTAAAGCACAATGAAAACGTTTTAAGTCTCCCTAAACGTCTCTCTACTAATCACTTTGCTCTAACTGTTAGTATTCTTAATTCTTAAAGGGACAGACCGGCTATGTAAGGTAAGTCAACTGAGTATGCAGTGTTGTTGACAAATTCTTTAGGATTCATTTGAGACATATAAAACTTCTGAGATCTGTAAATCCTTAGTTTGAGTGCAAAGTCGGCTTTCAAAATCGTACTTTTGGGTGGATACCTTTTCAGAATTGTTTTTTTTTCGAATAACGACAACAAAAATGTAAACAAAAATCTACAGTAACCTAATTATTTGTTTATGAACAGGTTGAGAAAACAAAAATTAACTCTTATCATCGAAAATAAGTAATCTTACTCAATTATTAGTTTTTTATTATCTCTCTTTAATCACAAAGATTTTTTGCAGATTTTATGGAATTTTTATTAAAAAGACGACATTTGAAGAATTTGAAGAAATATGCTCCTAAACATCCATTCATGATTTTCAACGTCGACTTTGCGCTCAAACTCAGTAGTTATACATCGTGGAAAAGTTTTATATGTCTTAAATGAATCCTAAAGAGTTTGTCCGCACACTACATACTCAGTTTAACTACCTTACATAGCCCTGAGTCTAAAACTAAAGAACGAAAAGTTTTGACTTAAATTTTAAGTTCATGGTTAAATGCCACTTCTGACTTAATTTAAACCTGAACTTTAACCGTGAGGTTAAATATTTAACCCTGTGCTTAAATATTTAACTCGCCGAAATCGACGAGTTAAAATTTAAACACAGGGTTAAAATCTTGAAATCCTGCATTTTCCCTATTTTTCTATTATTCAATCATCATTCAGCTGAGAAAGTGGCATTCAACTTTACGATATATTTAAAAGTGAAAACCTTGTTAGAGAAATTTCACGTTTTAGATTAATTAATTTTTGCATGTAACCCAAAAAACGGTTGTAACTGGAAATATGTTTTGTTTTCGGTTACGTAATCAGCTGATTAGCGATGGTTATGTAATATTCTCCGTAAATCCTTTTCTCTGATTGGTTCAGATTTTTCCCGGGAAATTCAAATTTAAAATTGAGAAAGTTTAATATTTAAGTAGCTATTCATTATTTTACAGAACTTTTAACCTCGAACTTAAAATTCGCGCATTCTTCAGTTTTAGACTCTGGTCTGTCCCTTTAAAGGCATCCAGAAAACCCGAAAGTGTTTTAGTATTCTTAAATGTAAAACATTCAAAAATGTTAAAAGTATTCCTTAACGGTAAAAGAATTACTAAACGTTAAAAGTATTACTAAACGAAAAAAGAATTTCTTAACGTTGAAAGTATTACTAAACGTTAAAAATTCCTGAACATTAAGAATATTCTTAAACGTTAAAAGTATGCCTAAACGTTAACAGAATTTATAAACGTCAAACGAAATCACAATCGTTTGAGGTGTTCCTAAACGTTAAAAGTATTCCTAAACGTTTAAAGTATTCTCTTTGATTAAGAAGTAGCCTCAAAATTAAAAAGTATCTTTAAGTCCTGAAAGTGAAAAGAATTTCTAACATTTCCCTAAACTGCATATGCTTACTTTAACCAAACCCAGCGAAGGCAAATTAAATTGCATTGAATCTAAAAAATATGATGTATCCACTCTCTATTTTTAGTCGTAGCCTTGTCAATAGCGTCATCATTTTTTTTCTGAAGAAATGAATTGATACTGGAAGCAAGTGAAAAGGAAAAAGTAGAAAAGTACACGCTAATTGCACAAATGTCAAATAGTGGTAATTTTAAAAACTAAAATACTCATTTCAAAGGAATTAAGTCTTTTCCACGAACTCTGATTTTCTAATCACTAATTCTTTGCAACCCAATGACTTAGACTTTAGAGATTTCAAACTATAAATGATGTTGGATCAAATATTCTAAGTTTGAACTATAGTATATACAGGTTTACATAATAAGGTTTTATAGATACAAGGATTTGAAAATCAGAATTTGTGGCAAAGACTTAATTCCCTTCAGGTTGTATTGAAATATTTTCAATTTTAACTCCTTTTAATAAATTGGTTTTGAGAAGAACAAATATGTATTCAATTTATGACTGCCACTAAATATATTTGTTTTTACTTAGTAATTAGTAAAACTAAGGTTCATAGGGGCCTGGGTTTTTAGCCCCCCGCCACCCCCCTCCACCGCACAAAATTTTAAGACCTCGTCGTCTTTGAAGTCTTGTAACAGTTAGGTCATTGGTTTTAACTTTATACTATTTCACTTCACTTTGGTTTAAACTTTATACTAACTCACTTCACTTTGGTTTTAACTTTATACAAACTCACTTCACTTTTGTTTTAACTTTATACAAACTCACTTCACTTTGGTTTTAACTTTATACAAACTCACTTCACTTTGGTTTTAACTTTATATTAACTCACTTCATTTTGGTTTTAACTTTATACTAACTCACTTCATTTTGGTTTTAACTTTATACTAACTCACTTCACTTTGGTTTTAACTTTATAATAACTCACTTCACTTTGGTTTTAACTTTATACTAACTCACTTCACTATGGTTTAAACTTTATGCAAACTCACTTCACTTTGGTTTTACTTTATACTAACTCACTTCACTTTGGTTTTAACTTTCTACTAACTCACTTCACTTTGGTTTTAACTTTATACTAACTCACTTCATTTTGGTTTTAACTTTATACTAACTCACTTCATTTTGGTTTTAACTTCATACTAAATCACTTCACTTTGGTTTTAACTTTATACTAACTTACTTGATTTTTTCGTAGCACAACTTAGAACTAAATAATATTTTTTAGATTCAGTTTGAAAGTTGTAATGCATTAAACTGCAACATGCATATTGCATATACATTATGAGGCTTGCACAGTTTGAATGTGCCGCCTGGAATTAAAGTAAAAAAGATTGGCCCCCCTTGGCCCCCCTTGACCAATTAATATATACACCACTCAGCATAATACTTTGATGAAACATATTCAAATATACTTATTCCCAAGCTAAGAGAAAACACAGATGTATAATATATATAAATTTAGAGAAACAAACCCTAGTCAAATATAAGCTTTCCATACTTAATGTCAAAACTAAGCCAAAACATTGTTATTTCATTGATATTTTTTTTAATTGTTAAAAAAAGAAAAAAAAGCATTTCAAGACGTTTACAAATACAAAAGTTTTAGCATATTCAATGAAGTATTAAACATTTTTGAACGCAATCACCTCAATTATAAGTTTTTATAAGTAATAAAAAAAGTTCAGGTGAAAAGATTAAAATTTGATATGGGCATACTTCTATATTATTTCAGTCAAGTTTTTGCATCTAGTTTTTAACATTAGAGCAGATTTGTCGCAAAATCAGCCTTTTAAAGAGGTTTTCATAAAATAAAAAGGGGTAAGGTTCAACAAGAATTGAATTCAATATCGTTAGATTATAATCCTATACTCAATATACTGCACTTTAAGACTTCATTTTAGGTAACACAACACTTTAAATGATCCGAGCCGGTGCACATGTTCTATATATGCATTAACCGTACAGTCTCTGTCTGGACTACCATGTAAAGAGTCGAACCAGCCCGTCAACCCGGACTAACCAGAGTGAACACTATTCGGTTTCTTCAACTTGAAATCAAACTTGTTTTGGTCTATAATTCAACAATCTTTTAACTTACGGATTTGTTTTTCATTTAAAATGCATATGCCGACAAAAAGTATTTAATAAAAAAGGCTTTCTGTAATATTGACAGAACCGATAAATCCACGTGATGTTATAGCCTGGAAGATGACAGTGGACACTTTATTTAAAAAATGACCTGATTCACTGCAAACCCTTTAAACCTCTATCTGAGTTATAATGAGGAGCATATTCTGACAATTTTCTTTATTGTCTTCAATTTATAGCTAGATCTTTAACCATAATTCATTCGTTCTATAGTTTGCAGTCTAAGACTGAAGGGTTAAAGGGCACCGTTTCGAATGGTACTTTCCACTTTATGAAGAATGGGTCGCTTGAAACTACGGTAAACTAGAGGTCTTGGTAAAACGTCTAGTAAGTCTTAGCTTTAGAAACTATTTTTACCAATTATGTGAATATTCTTAGTAATTCTTGTTTTATACTTGTTTGTTGCGCTATTCATTTAAAATATTTAAGTATGTGACGTTATTTTAAACTGATTTTGAATGAGAGATCAAAATATAATTTAAAATGTTCCAACACAGACAGGACGCACTCCGTTGTAGTTAGTTTGACGTGACGCGTACAACTACAGTCCCTTTCAACTTTAAATAGTTTACCTGTAAAAACTGATAAATCTCGGATAATGTTAACTTTTTACTGGGAACTGATTGTATTGCCATCACGATCAAAGCAATATAACTGTACGGGGGCTTCTCTTGTCTGCGTACACCTAAATATTGTACATAGATAAGAAACTGTACGGGGGCTTCTCTTGTCTGCGTACACCTAAATATTGTACATAGATAAGAAACTGTACGGGGGCTTCTTTTGTCAGCGTAACCTAATTATTTTTTACACAGATACGCAACTGTACGGGGGCTTCTCTTGTCTGCGTACACCTAAATGTTGTACATAAATATGAAACTGTAAAAATACATATTTTAACGTACATCTAAATCTTGTACATAAATATGAAACTGTAAAAAGGCATATTTTAACGTACATCTAAGTATTGTACATAAATAAGACACTGATTCTTGTCTCTGACAAATGATTATTGTACATAAATAATGTACATATCTATAGTCTGAGGTATATCTATAAAAGAATCAGGACATTATAATGTTAGACGACGTGTGTATAAAAATAACTTTGTTAACCGCCAAAATCACCAAAATTATTCAAATCAGTCATTCAAATATCTATATGTACTTTGCTTGTCTGTCTGTTTGTCCGTTTGTATCCAAAAAAAAATCAAAACGGCTGAACCGATCAGGCCCAAATTTTGCATGGGACTTTACATGTCCCCAGGGAAGATTTATAAATGATCAAAATTTCAAAAATTTGCCTCAAACTAAATTTGACTTTTTTTAATTCGTCAACTTTTTTTAGGTTTTGTTTTACAATGTATACAGAGAGAAAATGTTCACAATTGAAATAGAAGATGGGCGCAAAGCGCCTTACAACTAACAAGCCTACAGTAAAATCCTTAACAACGAATACATCTGAAGAATTTATCAAATGTCGTCTTGACAATTTTTCAATGAGTTTTATACTACAGGGTGTCCCAAAAAACATGGGAATTCAGTGACGAATTCGAAATCGTCTTTGTTATGAATTAGCATTGTAATACCTAATTTCAAAAGCAATAATATTATTATGTCTGCTAGAGTTTATTTTATGAAAACGGCAAGAGACTGTAAAGATGTGTCTTGAACGTCTCCGCACGATGAACAGTAAAGACGGACAAGTTTACTCTGGTTGTATACTGTAATTTTCTTGTTTTACTAAGTACAACCGTATGCAGTCAAAACATAAACAAACAAATTGTAAACATAGCAGACGAAACTCTTACAGATTACAGCTTTCTCATTAGGTATCACTATACTAAATCAAAGAATTATTTAAAAAGACGATATCGAATTCGTCACTGAATTCCCATGTTTTTTGGGACACCCTGTATATTACGTAAATATCAGTATTTGCGAAAATAAATAAAGAGCCATGAATATGCGGGAACAATTTTAAAGAGTTCCATATAATCATTTAATTAAAAAACTAAATATCTGCAACATTCCATTATCAGAAAATGAAGAATACGACATTTGATGAATTCTTTCGATGTATTCGTTATTAAGGGTTTCACTGTAGTAATATAAATTTTTTATTTCTGTAAAAAAAGATACCTTTATTCTTTGTTGAAAATATTCAATTTCTTAATGTCTCATTATTTTGTGTGCTGAAAATTGATCAGGATTTTACGAAGTATTTTACCAAGTATTCATTTGCGTTCAGATTTAGAATAATCATGTCCAAAACAAGTGTGTAAAGGCCTAGGAACGTCAGTCCGGTTCGAAAAAACTAAACGAACCTGAATTAGCTCGTTTTGATTGTTTGTTTGAAGGTTGGTTTGAGAGAGGTGAAGAGGGATCTCCTTGAAATTGTTCTAATAATGACGAACTCCTCTCACCATCTTCGTCTTCTCCTGGGAAATAATCGTCTATTTCCCCCTTCAAGTTAGATTGTTCAAATAAAATTAAAATCTTTTTTAAGATCATCCATTTTCAGCACTTAATTTCGTTCTATTTTTAATAGTTTATTTGGACAACATTTTCTTTCAAGGGAATTAAACATTAGTCAGAAACTTTAATTTTCTGAAACCCATATCTTTGCAAATGGGTAAACCTTTGATAATTCAAACTTTCATTAGTTGATCTAACAGAATTCATATCTTGAAATATCAAAGGTCTATGACATTAGGTTGTAAAAGATGGAGTAAGAAAATAACAACCTTTGTCAAAATATAATTTTTTTATATCTAAAAATATTTAAAAATAAATTTTAAGTTTAAAAAGATATGAACAAAATTTAAACTTTTGGAAAATCATCATTTTGCCTATTTAACCCGAAAACTTTTAACTAACTTAAAAACTTATTTTATTCACTTTTTTTGAACATTTTCTTCCCTTGTCATCCCCTCCATCATCACATTCTGGGTCTTCAGTATACTCATCCCTCTTCACTCCTAGATACAGGAGTTCATCCCTCACATCCCTCCGAGGAGTAGAGGAGGTCAAGTACCCAACCTCTTCTCCTGACCTCTTCTCTGGCACAGGATGGAGAATGTCTCCCTGCTCCAACCACAACCTCGACCTCTCATATTCCCGTTCTGTGACCTCTGTGTGACCTCTAATGTGTAGGTCGGTAGAGTGGGTGGACCATGGTGGGGGTGTGTCCTGTGTAGCGCTAGGAATAGAACTGGGCAGGGTTGGGTCCATGCTGACAGCTATTGTTTAGTGTTTAATTAAATATTTGGGTCTCAGCGATTAAATATTTGTGTAATAATCTTAATATTCTGTAGATAACGTCAACATTGGATCCGGTTTAGCCAAGATATGTTTACATATACAACTCCGGCAGTTCTGTGACTCTTTCACGCTCCGTCCCGCTCCTTTCACCTCTACATCCCACCTATACCCGGCCAGCCAATAGGAAGCCGAGTTCTATACCTCCGACCAATCACAACCTGCTCCGGTCAGACGAGTAGAATTCTGATCAATGAGAGACGAGATACTAATGCGCTGGGCGGCATCTGCCAAATTTACAAGGTTTGAGATAATCCAGAATTCACCTTACATGCACAATCTTTAAATATCATAGATCAGAGGCCAGATAACCCAACCTATTCACACTTCATCGTAAACAGATTATTTGGAAAATATTCTAAGCGGTTTTTGTTTTAGTTTATACATTCTTCCTTCGCGAGTTTGTTATTTTTCAAAATTTGATTTTTGATAACATCTCTCTAAGAGAAAGTGTCACAAATCATTAAACTATATAAACAAAAATCATTTAAAGGAAATTTATTACAAACAGGACAGCATCAGGCGTCGAAACTGTCATGATTTTACATAAATGCAGAAATACAGGGTTACCAAAATAAATATTTTCAACAAGAGAGACCCTATAACGATAAAATCCCAGTCGCTCTGTAGCATATATATCCGGGAAAAGATACGAGAGAAACACATATCTTGTTAAGATTTGGGACACCCTACACAAAATTTATCTTTTTTTAAATTACAGTACACCCTGTAGCAAAGACAAGAACCAGAGTCGTATACAGGGGGGAAGTAGTCCTCTTGCCCCCCCTCCTGTGAAATACAAAATAAAAGGAGACTACGTTTAAAAAGTAACACCTGAAATTTTGCCCCCCACCCCCTTGGCTAAAATCCTGTATACACGCCTCACAGAACCCCCATGTTAAAACCGTAAAATATCGCATAAAACTAAAGCAAATTAAACATAAGATTGAAATCTTATATATTTTGAATATAACCCCTTATATTGAAGAGCTATTGAGAAGAATAAAATGTTTTGAATTTCTTATGTGAAACCGAATAAATTTTCTTTTTTTATAATTGCGCGTAAAATTAAAACTAGAGAGTAGAGGAGCTACGAGGTCACAAAGCCACAAAATTCATAAATGATAAATTCTCCTTTGCCTGGTTTGCTATGATATTAATCAATTACAAGTTATGCGCGGTTATATATATATATATATATATATATAACTTAGTTGAGCAATCACAATACGGGTTTGATGGAGTTATATATATTTGCGTATATTGATTAGGTTAATTACAATGCATGATTTATGCATATTTACTAATCGGCACATTCAGCTATGGACAATATTCGCACTTAGTCCTTATATGGCTATAGAGATAAAAGACAACTTTTAAGTCTTCTCCCAACAGTCAAGTTTTTTAGGACACCCTGTACATATATAAATATACATATAGATAAAAATGGATTTTTAAAATATTTGAATAATTTTACCAAGTGAATGTTAATCATTGAAATGTTTTTTTTTGTATAAGTTGTATATTTTTATGTTAAATTAAATTTTTTGTAATCTGATAAAACTGTTTAATATTTAGGTTTTAATTAACATCATAAACTAATCACATAAGTATAAAGTTTCACTTTTTATCACTATCAAATTTGGTTCCTACGCTTATCCAGAAACATACAAGGTTCTTGTTACTAAAACTACGCAATCAATTGATAACTCCCCTCCCCCAGGAGGAGTCAGAGTAGTAATGGGTCGGGCATATTTTCCTCTTGTGTGATAAATTCTTTCAACAAGGAGAAAAGATGATAAGTGATAAAATTTGGGTTGTTTGTCGGATCGGATTGTGTGCAGAAAATAAATGACAATTTTCGATTTTTTAAAAAATCCACCAATAAAAACAAAAAATCTGCCAAAAACGTAATGATAAATGGGGCTCATCTAAATAATATTGAAAGCTCTAATATATTTAGATGTTGTTAAATGTCGTCTTCTGAAGTCAGCAAACAAAAGTTTTTAATCTTTGTGAAGAAACAATCTCAAGAACTGACGAGGGTCAACCCAGACCTAAATATATTTTCAATAAATGTGGAACTAACATCTACTTTTTTACTCTACAGAGGTTTCGTCCATCACCGAATTTTAAATTTTCCCATTCCTCTTTACTGGAAAGCAGTTCTTCAAAATTTAATAATAATTTTAATAAATTTCAAAATTGAAAGGGACATTACATTTTGAATTTTCATTATTTAATTGAAATTACAACTGTAATAAATCATCAAAAATGAAAAACGACCTAGATCTCCGTTAACGATCAATGAATTGAATAAAAAAGGAGTGTTGAGATTTTTTATTTAAATAAACTATTCTTTTGGAGGGCAAAGAGAAGTTCATACAAAAAAGAAAAAATTTAAATCGCAAAAATAAGCCAAAATATTTGGGAAGTGATTATTACAGAAACTGATGAAACCATGTAACCAAAGAAAATTTGTTTCTAAATTAAAATTTCTTAATTCTTTATAATTTGAAATCTGGATTTTAATCTTTTTTAAAGAAATGATAATCAATAGAATAGTGAGTACACACTTTTAAAGGAATAGATAAATAGATTTAAAGTTTGGGCAGAGATGAGGCCAGGTCGGGTATGTGGGGTGATTGAATTTAATGTCTTCAACATAGATTAATTAACAATAACAGATAGGACACTAAATGTCATCCTTCTAGATTTAGTGATTTTTCGTTCACAATAACCCTGAGGCAGAAGGAGTTCCGCGCAGGCAGCGTTGAATTACAAGACAGAGGCTCCTGCCTCGGGATTACTGTAAACGAAAATACTCGTAAATCTTTAAAAACATAATTTTAGAGTCTTAATCTGTTATTGTTAATTAATCTATGTACTTCAGTTTTTACACAGTGATACAATTGTGCAGGTTTTCAAACAAGATTAGCTGTTAGTATTTTGAAAATATTGTAACGTAAAACTAAAACAAAGCGTTATGATACCTAAAAGTTGTGTTTAAAAATGTTCGTGTGTGTTTATAGTTAAATCTTTGTTTTTAACAAGAATCATACAGCAGTCATACTATAATACAGCATTACCTTCAAAGGATGAGACTTAAGAAACAACAGTCAGAATTTTTGGGATCTTAATTTATTAATTGAATGTTCCTTGCAGCTTAAAGTTATTTTTGGTAAGAAAGTCAATTTCAACCTTCAGATCTTCATAGTTACCACTATCCCAGCTGGGCTATTTTTGTCTAATATACTTGGGGGGGGGGGGGGGTTTATTCCCCCCTTCTTCGATTTTGCCCTTAGAGTTGAGATAGGAGAGTACATGTCCTTAGTCCCACTTTTCAAGGCCTGTGGCCGAATTTAAAGAATTTGAGCGGCGGTTTAAATTTAAGCCGCGGCTTAAATATGTTTGGTTCCACTTAAAATTGTATCAAAAGTTTCAAGATTTAAGCCAGCGCTTAATGTAAACCGGGTTTTGGCAGATTTAAACCGCGGCTCAAATTCTTTAAATTCCATCTCTGATTAAAAAAATAATAACTCTAACTTTAATTGGGAATTACAGTTAACTGTATCTTGTAAGACATATACCGGAGAATACAGATAGAGTCCTATCGGGTTTTTTATTTACTAACACATTAGTGAAAAACCGGGAGTTCTTGAGTAAGTTGTATCTTGTAAGACAGATACCTGAGAATACACATAGAGTCATATGTGGTTTGATATTGTCTAAAATATTATTGAGAAACCTGGAGTTCTTGATTGAGTTGTATCTTGTAAGACAGATACCTGATAATACAGATAGAGTCGTAACTGGTTTGACATTGACTAAAATATTATTGAGAAACCTGGAGATCTTGATTGAGTTGTATCTTATAAGACAGATACCTTAGAATACGGAAGGTTATACTTGGATTGGTACTGATCTAAAAGTATTTATTGGAGTAGTGCCTTTTCTACATGCTCCCTAACCCTACCGACTTCTCTTAACTCTGTTACCCTACTCCCTACTCCATACATATTCCCTACTTTCTCCTTCTCCCTACTCCCTACATATGTCCTACTTCCTACTCCCTACTTCCCCTTCACCTCTGTTAATCTCTGAAACGAAAATACCAAGTTTAAGGATAGAAAATATTGACTCTGGGATAAAGGTTTAGCTTAAGGGATATCTTATGAAAACTGGCCTGCTAGGCTGATCCTCACATTAAACTATAATACTGGGAGAAAAAAACTTTGGAAGAAGATTGATTTTTCCTTTTAGCATCATTTTCAATTAATATGAACTTTTAGAAAAAATCTTGATTTAGAAAAAACTTCCAAATTCCTTGGTAAAACAGCGCACCACATGCTGATACCTAATATTACTGCATAATGTTTTTTTTAATCTTTTGTAAAATATCAATGCTTTTCTCTATGTGTATCAGAATGAAAGCTATTCCTATCAAACTTCTTCAGACAAAGAAGCAAAACATTTATTATGGGAACTTTTTAGAAAATACCAAGACCTACAAAGCTGATGAGACTTCAGAGACAACTGAACGAAATAATTGATTAATTTTTTCATATTCATTCACAATTCCTTACAACACAGGTCTGCCACTAAAATAATTATCAGTTCAAACTAGGACCGCAAAGGTTGGTCCAGATCGTATATTCAAATTTATACCAGTTGTGCGTGCTACAGCTAAACTCTGTTTAAAGGGACTGTAAAGGAAAAATGAAAGGGGGTATAGGCTGAAAGCTAATCACTTTATACCTCTTGATCGTGACCCATGAAAGTTTTATCTGATGTTCCTGTCTCGAGAAATTGATATAAAACTGTGTTAAAATTATACATATATGTTAAAATTAGAAAATCTTAAACTTAAATCACGTGACCAGAACTATCACCAAAGGCAGAGCAGTATACTGGTCACGTGTCTCCGCCTGTATCACGTGACCACTATACTGCACTTCCATTGGTGGAATTTCTGCAATACGGACGTATAAATAATATTATGAATTAAATCTATAAAAAATAGAAATAACAAATATAAAATTAGAATTGGAGTAAACCTAAGTTACAATTAGCTTTCTCTGGGATATCATCGTTTTCAGATTGGTTGCATATTTGCTGAATTTGATCT